GAATATACTCCCTGTTAACATTTGTAGTAAAAAATAGAGAAATGTTTAATATAAACAGGGATTATTATGAAATAAAACACCAGGCATAATATGGATATGCATGTGAACCAGGTAAACTTGATGAAATATGGCAGTGGAGTATTTCACATGGCTGTGAGGATGTACAATGCATTGCCCAATGAAATTAAAACCTTTAATAATATAAATAATTTTAAACATAACTTAAAGGACTTTTTGTATACTAATTCATTTTATACATTGAATGAATTTTTATTAAGAGATAATCATTGTGTATATTAATGACATGTGTGATGCAGTTGCCCACTCTAAGTGTCTGCTTTTTGCTGATGACGTCAAAATTTACCAAGCCATTATTTCTCCTCAGGACTGCTATCTACTTCAGTCTGATGTTAACTCTATACAAGGTTGGTGCATTGCTAACTGTATGCAACTCAACATCAGTAAAACTAAAGTTATATCCTTCTCCAGGAAAACTAACATACCTATCTACGATTATAAACTGTGTCAATCGTCAATAGCCCAGACCGATTCTGTAAAAGACCTGGGAGTGTTTATTGATGCTAAACTATATTTCCATGACCAAGTAAATTACATTTTCTCTCACTATGTTAAACTGTTGGGTCTAGTTCATAACATTACTTTCAATTTCTCATCTCTAGACTGTATGTTCAGATTGTACACTGCATTAGTTAGATCTAAGCTTGAATATGCATCCGTAGTCTGGAATTCGATTATGTCAACTGATGCCAACAAGCTGGAACACATCCAGCAGAGGTTTATGGCCCTTTGTTTTAATTGTTTCTATCCTCAAGTTCATTACAACTATTCTCTTGCTTTTGAGGAGTTAAAATTGCACACTTTATGTACTACGAGACATCGTCTTGATGCTCTCTTTCTTATTCACATTTATTTTGGCTTGAAATTCTGCCCTTCTGTTCTGGAAATTGTTGGTCTCCGAGTTCCTTTTTGATTTATCAGACTTTGCATTGTTCAATGTTTGCTCCTCATCTAAAAATTGTCCCTCTGCTAGATGTGCAGTAGCTGCTAATGTCATATTCAGGGATGTTGACGTATTTGGAGCCAGGAGAGTTCTCCCCAAACGATTTTTAAGTATAGTATAATTGTTAGTATTATTACAGGGTGGGGAAACTTCCTTCTTGTGAAGATGCATTGTGAAGGGAGGGGAGGTAGCAGAAAAGTGGGGATAGGCTCAGCGCACGCAGCAGTCACGGAAGTTTCTGTGTAATACCCCTCAGTAGGAAACATGAGGTGGATGAGTGAGCAGCGTGCATTTGCTGTCGAAGCCCATTTTTTGAACCATTCATACATGGCAGTGCAGCATGCATTCCATACTCCAGAAATAAGCCCAAAGGTCTGGTTCCTGACCGGAAATCGATTGCTTTGTGGGTAGAGAACTTTAGGACAACCGTGAGTGTGGTGAGAAAATCATCAGGACGACAACGGACCGTTACAACGCCAGAAAATGTGGAGGCAGTTCGACAGTCGATTTTGAGATATCCAAGATGCTCTGCTCGTAAACATGCAGTCGCCCTAGACATATCCAATTGTTCAATGCACCGAATTCTTCACGAACATCTTCATTTCCATCCCTATAAGATGGTGGTTGTGCAAGAATTGTCAGCACATGCTTTCCAGAACCGAATAATGGCGCACGAAATGTTATTGGAAACTTTACCCCCTGACACACTTGTTTTCTTTAGTGATGAGGCACATTTTCACCTATCCGGATATGTCAACAAGCAGAATATGCACTATTGGAATGGTAACAATCCCAGAGAGCTCCATGAGCGGTGACTTCACAGTGATAAGGTGACAGTATGGTGTGCGTTGTCAAGAGTTGGGGTTATTGGCCCTTATTTTTTTGAAGAAGACAATCATGCAGTTACTGTTGATTCACAGCCGTATGTGGACATGATAAAAACTTTTTCGAACCAGCTCTTGAAAAAATGCATTTAGGAAATGTCTGGTTCCAAGAGGATGGTGCCACAGCCCACACAGCCCGAGCTTCAATGACAGTTTTGAGGGCAAAGTTCCCCGGATGGCTCATTTCACTTCGAGGTGACATCCTATGATCACCTGATCTAACGCCCTGTGATTTTTTTTTATGGGGATACCTCAAGGCAGTGGTTTTTAAACACTGTCCCACAAACCTGCTTCAGCTGAAGGATGTTATTCGGCAAGAAGTAGCCCAAATTCCAGCGCACATGTTGGAACGTGCAGAGGGGAACTTCAGAAAACGGTTGCATCAGTGCATAGAGAACGGTGGCCACCAAAAAAAAAATTAAAAAATGGTCGCACAAGTGTTACGCATGAGGAAGGAGCCAGACGACCATTCACGGCCACAAATGAGGATAACGTTGAGCGTGCACGTGACATGGTTCTGTTAGACAGACGAGTGACTATTGATGAAGTGTCAAATTATCTGCAAATTAGACATGGTTCTGCCTCCGAAATCATCCACAACAGACTTGGGTTTCATAAAGTCTGTGCAAGATGGGTCCCAAAACAACTCACAGTGTTGCATAAACGAACGCACTGGGACATCTGCCAACAACATTTGGATCATCACTGGTGACGAAACATGGATCCATCATTGTGAGCTGGAGAGTTAAACGGCAGAGTATGGAATGGGAACATCCACAATCGCCCAGCAAGAAAAAGTTCAAAAGCCAACCATCCACAGGAAAACTGATGCTTACAGTTTTTTGGGACTCACAAGGCCCAGTACTGGAACATTATCAGGAGAGGGGCACAACAATAAACAGTGCTCATTACAGTGAGATGCTTACCAACAGGCTAAAGCCTGCAATTCGAAGCAAACGCCGAGGACTACCTTCGAAAGGTGTTGTGTTTTTGCACGACAATGCCCGTCCACATACTGCTGAAACCCTCTGGAAACTCAAGTTTGATGTAATGGCTCATCCTCCGTATAGTCCTGATCTCGCCCCTTCTGACTACCACTCGTTTGGTCCACTCAAGAGGCACCTCGGACCAAGAAGTGAATGAAGCGGTGCTTGTGTAGCTTGCTGCTCAGCCGAAAACCTTTTCTGAGGGCATCAGGAAGCTTATGCAACGATGAACCAAGTGTGTTGAAAAGCAAGGGGACTATGTTGAAAAATGATGTTAATGTAAGTGTTCTATTTGTATTGAAATAAAATTTATAGCTACATTGCAGATAATTACTGACTTGCCTACGTATATATTTTTTAAGGATTTTGTCCTACCTGTAACCGTCCCACTGCTATGCATCTTATTTGAATGTAATCAACTTTATTAATTTGAAAGCTTAATTATTCAAAATGAAATGCAATGAACAAGTGTAGTGAGACATAGGTCAATTCTTGTATGTAAGAGTAAGCGTCTTCCCACGCTTACAACAGAAACAGGAAGACACCCGTCAAAGGTTTATTAGAGGAAAGTTACATTAAAGAATAGCTAAAGAATTCTTTGTGAATTCAATACTTGGCAGTTTGTGCATGCCATAACTTAAAAAGAGTGAAGTTTTTAGGACCCAAGCGA